ATTTTTAAAGATTTCATGCAAGTTGCTCATGAAAGCACCCTGGCAAAGCTGCAAAAGTTAGCAAAGCTGTGATTATCACACCTCACATAGTTAAGAGGCAATAGCAGTGCAAATAGCAAAGCAAGAGAATGTTTTAAAGAAAAATATTTTCCATTAAAATTTAATTTAGAGTAAGGCAGGCTTTATACTATTATAGAAAGGACTACTGAGAACTGGATGCCTCCATGTTCACCAGAAAAATTACTGTGTCCATTGGGTAAGTGAGGAAGGAAGAGAAAATGATGGTGGCGGGGCAGTACATAGCAGCCATCAGGGAAATAGGGAAGCTGAATGGCACTGTAGACCTCACAGCGTGCAAACACCTCTTCTCCTTTGGAAATCCAGAGAGAAAATGAACTATTCCTGCTTCCTGCTCTAGAACTTCTGCTCCTTAGCTGAATGGCATAGCTCTTCTGTTTAGCACTGGCAAGAGGTCAGTCATCCCATAAGCACTGCCAAGTGTTATAATTACTATATTCACATGGTCACTGTATCTTATTGCCCAGTTATTTCATAACTGAGTGCTATGTACTGCACCAGATCCAAGCATGCAGCTCTCACTGACTTCTAGGGCTACCTTTATGCATAGGTCTGTTGGCATCAATGTTTTTCACAACTTTATTTACCTGACCTGCAAATATTTTGGAGAACATGATGGTGCTTTTGAACATTTGTGTATTTGCCTTGTCTAYGCATTGAAGCTGTACTTACTATGCATCTCTTGCTCTCACATTCATGAGGAAAATCATACAAGTTTACAAGTTAATAATTTTCCTGAATGTCAAAAGCCAGGACAGATCAGGATGTACATGGTGTTGACAATGCTGCAAACTGGGCTTTTTTAGTATKAATAGTAAATTTCCTAGCCTCAGTAAGACTTTTTATAGGTTTTACAACATGTTAACAACTAGCCATGGATATTTGCCATAACTAATGCAAAGCACAGAGAAAAAGGTGTAATTATTAARAACACAGTAGCTTGAGTTTTCAGTTCAATAGAAAGAGTCCAGTGCTTTCTTTTAGCTTTCAGCTTCTGAGTAAAACAGATATCCTGCCTTTGTTAGAAATAACAGTGATATCTAGAACCTACTGATTGGCACGGTCTATATCCCACGTGTTCCAAATCAACACCTAGTAAGATTTTGTTAAGGCTGCTAGATGTAGAATGTGACTGAGTAGTTCACACTACACAGGTTCCTGCTTCAGCTCCATAATCAATGAGGCAAAAAAGGCAATGCTTAGGTGCATAGAGCAGTATCCTTTAGCTGCTCCACCTCACCATCTGGTAGATAAACAAAATCAGTCTTGTGAACCAGACTGTCAACTGGGATGACAGACATGCTGACTCACATTCTGCCATCMTGATTTTGGGGATAGCAACATTTGGAAGGGGAACATGAACACCTGGGAAAGAAATTTTTCTCAGAACATGGACTAGATTTTTCATCCATTTTAGGAAGATAGAAAGTAGTGAGATCCTTATGGTGACTCTTCAGACATAGCCACCCCCACCTGAGTCGCTGATGATAGCCAAGACGAAGGAACCACTCTTCTGGGTTTATGTTTCATCAGACACTAGTACTCTTTGATCATTCCCCTTCTCTCATTTTCTGCTGGTTATAAATTTTGAGGTACAAAGACTGTGTAAGCTACCTAATATTCTGCCTTTTTTGACCGTCCCTCTGACTTCTGTCATCCCCAAATTTTCTTCTTGTGGTTGTTTACAGAGTGAAAGTAGAAAGTAGGTCAGACAAATGGAGACTGTCAAATGACCAGTTTCAATTTATGGACATGTTGTTGTCTCTGTAGAACCATAGTGCTGCTGTTACAAATCCTTAAAAGTTTGTTTTAGCCTGAAAGGCTATTAGACTTACTTCAGTGGCAAAGGAGAAGGCTTTCTGCAGGAATTTCTTCTGATTAAGTCAACAGAACTCTGCCTTCAGAGCACAGGTTCCAAACACAGGGCCTTGTTTTTGCATAAATTCTTTGCCTTTTCCTCGTCATAATAGAAACACTATGAAAAGCCTAAACAATTTAACAARTGGAGTTTATTTTCCTTTTTTCTTCCCTCACTTTTGCCCACACACTCCAATTACAAAGTCTCAATTAATAATTTTAGTTYAAAATCATAACCAGTACTGGAAACATGTGCTTCATGTATTGACATGCTTCATACAGACACATGACAGTGTCCCGTCATGAGATGAGGAGGGCACACCACACTGGGTGGTGCTAATGGCAGGGAAGGGGAGTACGATTTACAGCTTCTTTAACTCCTCCAGCAAAGCCACAACCAGTCAGTTATTGTGGCAAATAAAATACTCTGACAGAAGCATGATTGAAGTTGACCATTTTYCCACAAATATCAGCAAAGCTCCGAACAGTGTTGACAATTTTAGTGAATTAATGGCAACACAAGCAGTATCTGCTCCATTAAGTCCTATGGTCTGGTAAGGTCAGAATGACAGTTTAATGGTTTGCTGTCAAATCACCTGTCAGAACAACTGTCTGTTGCCTCTASACTCCTGTTACATGTGAGAAACATGGTACAGTAAATAATTGTAGGCTGATACTTTCTTAGGCTGCATTTATACATATTGCAGSAGCAACCCCAAGCAGTGCTTTAACTGTAGTCACAACAAAATCCTATCCAGATTAATTGGATTAAACAAAAAAGTAATCACCTTCTCTTGTTCTCTAAAAAACTTTGACAACACAGCAGGGCAGAAGAGCAGAGAAAAGAAAGTTCAGAAGGGTCAATAAATGTATCAGTGGTAAATAAAATAATACTTAATACTAAAAATAAAATAATACTTAATACTAAAATCCATGGTAGTTTTCCTATGAATTCAGAGAGACCAAAACTTAACTTCATATATTTGCTTTTGTGTTACTCAGTGAAACAAATAAAAGAGGTGGTCATCCTTCCCCCCATTCACGTGGAAGCCCTTCAGCGGTGGGGCTATATGGGAATATACTATTAGATTGGGATCAGAAGTGAGTAGAAGTCAAAGTATAAATTTCTCTAATAATCTGACCCAATCTCTTTGGAAAAAGTCCCTCAGGAAATGTTTTAACTGATAGAATAAGAGCAGCCTTTAAATTGGATGAAACACAGAGGGAATGCAAAACTGCACCCCATCTATATTGCCCACATTATGTCTAATGTAAAGACTTATATTTCCAACTGTTTATTTCCTGTAGATATACTCCTATATTTGAATGCATTGCAAAATCTTGCCCTAAGAAACAAGATCTCTCCCTTTTTCCATATGAGGACAGTGAAATRTCTACAGTGGCTACTACTTAGAATTTCTTACTGTAAAAAAATACTACTTGAACTACCCTYAGGGGTAGGATCCATCTGTCCTGATGAGTCTGTCTAAACAGGTGGAAGTCAGGTGTCCATTCTCACCAGCTGTACAGGCACTCTGTAATAAGGGAAGAAGTCCAGTGATATAAATGGGATGATTCCTCTTATCATAAAATTGACTTCTAAAAGGAATGAGATCTCTTGAGGGCAAGTTAGCCTTTCTTTTAAAAATATGTTTTAAGTGAATGTTGCTATGATTAATCTCATTAATTCCTGGATTCAAGTAATTAATGGATCCAAGTAACACTGTGAAAATGAGTGCATCATGATCACATCTTAAAAAACCAGTTCTAAAACTGTTAAGCTGAAACTACTTTCCTTTGCAACAGGAACTTATAAATGTTTCCATTCATAAATGCATGGTACATGATAGCTTTTGCATCTTACACTTTATCATTACACCTGGATAGTTCTACTTTATTATATTCATGTGCTCAGCATGAAAGCCTCAACAGGGCTTGGGGGTTCCTAACAAAAAACTCTTCAGTCATCTAATGGCACTCAGTTCAGAAAACAGGATTAAGTATAGAAGTCATCAAGAGATTTTCTAAATTAATGAGGCCATCCTAGACAGTTAGACTATTAGTCATGTGCCCACTGAAGCTATCAAGGTTTTGGTTGTTAGATTTTCAATACTCTGTTTAGTGCTTCTTTCCTGAACACAAGTATTTTTACTATTCCAAGGTAACAAATCCAGATCTCTTTAGAAAGCACATTGCTAATGGCAAGAAATTCAATGAGTGCCACAGACCTATAGTTARTAGCTTACTTATTTTGCAGCAGCCACTGGTTCCATACACATAACCTCAAAACTTCATTCCAACCTGTTGTTTCTAATTACTAAATTTTTTTCCAATAGGTTGTTTCTAATCATTAATGTTAGTGATATTACTTTGCTGATACATTGAAAACTTATTTCAGTATTCATCTAGTTTTATGCCATTGGAACTTGGACATCCCTCCATAAAATTCCAGAGACAAAAAATCACAAAATGTGTCAGATGTATTAGGTATCTCAAGGTTAGAGTAAGACTGTGACCACAAGAGAAGCCCATTCTGGTTGGTGCTATCCAGTCTAACAGGGCATGCTTACATTTCCAGCAAGGCATGGCTGTTTTGCATCAAGGTATACTTACACAGGTGGCCTGCAAGCAGTACAACACTGAAGCTACAGAATTTGGCTCAGACTACAAAGCCTGCCTGAAAACCAAATTCAGAAAKTTAATCTGTGCTGAATTCTTTGCTGCTGAATCTATACTGATATGAGTATTTGACTAATGTTAATTAATTTAAGGCTAATTTAATATATCTGTGTAAGATGGAGTCATAATGTGATTACTATGTAAATGTCTTTGTAGTAAGATATGGTACTTTTGATGGTTGCCAAAATTAAAGAAAGGTAATGTCATAAGAAAACAGGGACACAGTGAAGACAGGTTGCTTCCTTAATTTCCTGCTAAAAAGGGTATCTGTCTACAGGTCCAAACAGCCTGGCATGAGCTACAGTGAATGGCTACAGAAACAGATAATTTCTAAATTTAGTCTCTAYATATTTCAGAAGAAACATTTGTGGTTAAGACTAACATACCTTACTTTCCTTTATCAGCACAGTGTAAGTTTCTATCAACTTCACTTCCAAATTCAGCCTCCCATTTCCTCAGTCTGAAAAACAAAAATAAYAGCAAATCAGAGGTTAACAGAGGCAAGGGCGGCAACAGTATTTATGATGGCTATTTATCATCTTTTTCACTCACTTTAAGGGCCATGAGAGCTACATAGAAGAGCTAGTTCTCTAAAATACTACTATTTTAGTACTACTACTTACTAGTATTTTTACWAGCCAATTACAGCTCCCCCCACATACCTGCACTGCTGATTGCATAAGTCACCTGAAGGTGACATCAGACCTTCAGCATCGGGAATGGGTGGCACTAAGCAGTCAATGACCAACAGGTTCAAAGACATACAAGAGGTCTCTGTCATACTGATGCTGTTATACAGTCCTCTGAATTTCTTGTTTCTAAACACAATCTTCTGATACATTTAATAATATCAATATACAGTGGTTAGTTTTTTAGTTCAGGCTGGGAACAGAAAAAGAAAACAAAGACAAAATTGTGAATTCACAATCAATTAAAAAATATAACTTCTGAGGCTCCTTTGCTTCTTGGTTGGTTTTTTTTTTTTTTTCCCCAAGCCTTTTATAGGTCTCAGAAAGTCATAACCATCTCTACAGCTGGAATAGTAACACCTCATATCTGAAAAACAAATAGTTGARAAGTAAAGCTGAATATTTTTAAAGGACAGATTGAAAGGAACTATTTCAACAGTAAGCTCACAAACAACTCAGAAGGAAGAGCAAGTAAAAGAGGACAGAAAAAGATCAGAATGTTATAAAAGATCAGAACATGTTATACAATGTTTTGATTTAACAGAAGGTTGGCTACTTGTGCTGGTTACTTGGTTCTCAAAGGTAGGACAAACCCTTCGACAGGTCCTATATAGTGAAAACATGATGAGTAATAACCTAAACATACAGCTCTAATGTTTAAGTCTAGCTACTAGATGCTGAATTTCCATACAAGGGATCTCAAATCTAGGAGCTCATACTTAGAGAGCAAAGTGCTTCATGGTCTGTTATACAATCTGCTGTAGAGACACCTCTGTATTACCACAGTAACTCAGTAAGGTATCAAGGAGGAAACAGCCTTATCTGGCCATTAAGGTTTCAAACTTGTTCTATTACCACAGACCTAAATCCCACAGACTTTGCTTAGAACTGGATTCAAAGAYCCTAAAAATCAGCTGCAATAAGGCTCAGTCACAAATTAAGTGGATGTGTTTAACTCCCTCTCTGAACTGTTGAAGGTATTTAACACCAGATGACCAAGCTACATAATTTCAAAATAAATATTGGGTACTTTTAAGTTATTTTATCACTTGAAGACCTCAGTGATAGTAGAAAGGAATAGAAGCAGGACAGAAGGTAATGATACTCTAAGATTAACATTCAAAAAAATTTAATTTATCCCCAAATCCCAAAACTGCYCTCAATCCATTCTCCACCCAGCCTATAAAAGTGCTTATCAGAACCCAGGTTTAGGACCTTGTCTTTAGCCTTGCTGAACTCTATAAGGTTCACATGGACCCACCTCTCAGGCTGTCCATATCCCTCTGGATGGCATCCCTTACTTCAAGCATGTTGGCTGCACCACACAGCTCAATGTCACCGGCAAGCTTGCTGATGGTGCACTTGATCTCACGGTCCATGTCTCTGACAAAGATGTTAAACAGCACCAATCCAAATAATGACCCCTGAGAAACACCATTGATCTCAACTCAGAAATTGAGCAGTTGACCACAGCTCTTTGAATGCAACCACTCAAAGGAAATAGAAAAAAACATAAAGGATGTCTTCAAGAAGTGAAATTCAATGCTTCAGAWACTAACCAGGGCACAGTGTGGCTGTTCAAATCCTGGAAACAGATATGATTAGGCAGTTGCATCTTCTCCAAAAAAACCCACTGTATCTAACAGTTGTTTGTTGTATCTAACAGTGTGAAGACTATTTTCCTAATAAGCTCAAAAAACTTAATGCAGAAAGACAGGGTTAAAACACTGAAAACTTTAGGCATGGATGAGTTTGACACTTTATTCTGAAACAATCAGTAGACAACAAAGAACTCTTAACCAGGAAAAATAACAGCCAGCAGAAGTCTGTGTGCATTCCTATTATGCTTCCAATTCTCCTGAGAACAGGGGAAAAAAATGGGAAAGTTAAAATCATTCTCCCAAGCAACCTAAGTTCTCTCTTGGCCTGCTGTTATTACAAAAAAAAAGGAAATTTATTACAACCAGCTTTAGTCAGCTGTGGCACAGGTTTTTAGAGCTGAAAGAGTAATCTCAGGCTCCCTTTAAAATCAACGAAGAAAACAGGCATTTATCAAGTCATTTATCTGGTTTATTTTAGACAGTGGCCTTAGGAAGAGAAAAATCGTGTTGCAAAATGAAAACAACAAGCCCTATAAATGCCTGTTTCCCTCCACACACAATAAATGAAATCCAGAGAAGGAATTGTCTGTGTTTAGTAAGATGAATCCCACCCAGTAAGCCTGGCATACATAAACTCCTCTCATGGGCCTTTTGTTAAAACTGTTACAGTTTCCATCATTTCCAGATTATCAGGCAACAAGGGTACCTTCATGATGATCTCTAGTCGGACAATGGAAACACAGATATTCAAAGCTCTTCTAGCATTTCTAAGCTATCAGAACCTACTGGATTGTATGGATCTGAGGGATGCACCTCACCATGGAAATGCTCTACGTGGTAAACAGGAAAGAAATAGGTCAGAGAAACTCTATTTTTAAATTGGGAACATAAACTCCCTCCCACTGCAGAGTCTTATAACAAAAACTGAAAGACTGAAACTGGAAAGAAGAATCGCTACAAATTAACATACATATATATATGCATATATATATTTATATATATCTATGAAGCTGCATTCTTGATCAGAAAAYCAAAAAACTAGCAACCCAGGATCTACAATGCAGCATGAATAATWATCTTTAGTTGGAGACCTACATCATCTTCCTCACTCCATTTTATAGCAGTCTTGAACTATGGAGGAGAAGATTTGCTATTAATCTTCCTTTTCAGAAATAGCTATGGATGCCAAGATGATCACTGCCCATATCATAAGCTAAGCTTGATAATGGTCTAATATCTCAAAATGCAACTTTATTTTTTATTTGATGGAAATTCCCCAAAAYTAATTGATTAAAAAATCTGCATTTGTGATAACAAAAACAGACACTGTCTGGATAGTGCATACCATCACAGTATGCTCTCTTTTATGCTCTCTCAAACAACTTCCAACCCATGGAAGAGGGAACTGGCATATCTCTGACCTCAACAATTAGTACAAACACCTTATTTATCCACCTGAACAGGACAGCAAAGGACATAATAGTTGCAGAAGTTACATAGTATAAAACATATGGCATTCACCATCAGAACCATTTCACCTGCAGAAAACCAGACTTCTTATTAGACTTGGTTATAGAACAAAGTCTTGCCCATCCTACAACAAACAAAAGCACTCCACTTACCAATACAGCTTCACTATTTTACAGAAGGCTGAATACCATATTCACTTTGCAGATCCTCATCACATGAAAGACATTGATGTGTTAGAGTGAATTCAGGGGAAGGTTACCAAGTYGACTGGGAAATAAAGCACATGATGTACATAGAAAGAATGGAAAAATTAAGTTTGTCCAATCTTCATAAGAGAAGAGTTAAAGGAGACCAAATCATTAGGGATCCAAGCAACCTGATCCTTTTGAACCTGGTCTGTGCAAGCAGTTACACTAGGTGATGTTTCAGAGGTCCCTTCCAACCTAAATAATTATATGATTCTATGAAAGGAATGAGAAAAGTTGGGAGAAGACTTGAGGAAGCAGTTTCTGTGGATTTAACACACACATCAGTTCTTGAAGGATGCTCAGTCAGTACTCAATACCCAGAAGCACTCACCATGGTTGCCTGCCATAATGGAACATTAATACAGTTGGTCTGCACACAACATTTAGACTGGCCACAAACCTCATCCCCCTTCACAGTAAGCAATGATACAGCTGTCATAAGGACAAGGAACCATCTTAACTGCACAGACAACTGAATTAGCCATGTACACAGCCTATCCACAAAGCAGTGAGGCCACTCTTGAATGACCTTCACAATTTCAGCACTAATGAATGTTTTTCCTGCTGGAGAATCGGCTGTTTTCATGTGCCCCCAGATTCAGGAATAACACCACCCTAACAAGTGCAAAATGACTTGTTAACACATTAGGCTTCAAGATGAACACTGCAGAACATTACAGACACTGTTACCAAGATCCTCTTACATGCTGTGTATATTTTGCCAATACAATCTGAAGCCATGAAGAAATATGTTGCCAACAGAAGCAACCAAATGTGAATGCATTCTGCCAAAAAAACTTGCTAGCTGCACTATGCTAACAGACTGTTTGCCAGCTAGATCTCCTCATGCAGAAAAGGCCATGGATTTCCACTGCCTTTCAGACTCTGTCAGATTCCAGTATTAAATGGATGGATTAACATTTTGCAATCAACAAGATGAAACTAGTTCTCTTCATAACTGTTTTTAGTCTCTCGTAAATACTAGTCAATGCTAGTCAACATGTCAATTTACACCATCATCTATACTGAACGTTGCAAATAAAGGCTGCAAATATCTGGAACTGCCTAATTAGATACTCCATATATGTGGAACTATTTAAGAACTCTCTGAGGTTTCATGTGCTGCTACATATATTACAGCCTTAATACTCCATCTTAGACACCCAGACACAGCAGACATGAACCTGAAGTACTTTTACATGCTGTGCACTAGTACAAATAAAACAGACAGATGTCTAGTAMTAATAAAAATGATAAGACATTGATTATGGTTCACATTAGGATTTTGACTTCTGCAGTCACAATAAAACTACCTTGCCAGAAAATGAGGTGGTGATTCAGAGTATTTGGAAGTTTTCTGAAAAAGATGATTTTATTGCTGTTTACTAATCCAATGAATAAGGAACTTTGTGGGAGCATACTTAACCTGATTCAGTTTTTTATGAGGGTTTGCAAGTCTATCAAAAGTAAAAGAAAAAGAATAACCTGAGCATAATCTGATGAACGATAAAAAAGATTCAGATAAGGCATCTGAWTTGCCATTTTCCCAAAATATTTAATGTTCAACATTTAACCTAACAGAAATATTTTGTGTCTTGAGCTTCTTTTATCTTCAAGAGAAAAGATGAACATTAAAAAGTACTTTAAATTTTTTAGTTGATTAAGAGGGACTTTATTAATGGCAACRTCTGAAAGAGAAAACCTAAATGTGGTCAGTCTTACCAGTTAGCAAAAAGAAGCTACAGTTACCMTTGGAATCCTTCCTGCAGAAACTATAGTGTGTTGAAGAACTACAATTTTGGCCACATCTTTTTTCRCATGTTCATAGTGAGAAAAACAAACTAACATCAAACTTTCAGTCAAA